TTGAAACGGCTGTGCTAAGAAAAGGATGACGTAATTAAGCAATCAGAAATTATATGTTATTTTAATCATGACAATTTTTTTAAATACAATAACATAAATACAAAAATTCAAAACAAACAGCTTGAGCAAAAAAGACTTCATTATTAGAAGAGTTTTCTTATATTACATACGATCCTGAATAAAACGTTATATAAGTGGATATTTTACATTTGCATATAACATATTTGTTTATATATACTCTATATTTATGTTACATAAATATATATATTTATGGTTACAAAAATAAGTATAGCAAAAAAAAATTTTAATTTATAAAAAAAAAAATTTTTCTAGCTACGAGTTTTTCTTTTTTTTCCGCCTGCACACCAGCATCTTCTGAAATAGCAGGATTGTCTGATTATTAATTTTTTTTTCATCAAGTTTCAGATCATTAATTTTTTTCAGACTATTTTCAGCTTAATAGGACTAATTACGTGAGCACATTAATAAAATAATTATCACAATCATGACACATACGCAACAAATTTCCGTTCGTTTTTTGATAAACAAATAACATATTTGTTTATATTGCGCAAAACCTGCCTTGTTGAAAACAAATTAGTTTATATTTAAAAAAAAAAAAGTTGAAAACAAATTAGTTTATATTTAAAAAATTGACTTATTTAATGTTTCTTTATAAACATCAATATACTAGACTTAAAGTTTTTAAGTTTTACTGAACTAAATTTAACTAGTGAATTTTAACTTTTACTGAACTGCAGTTACTTTTAATTTTTTTGGTTTAGTGGCTTTTGATAAGAGCTTTTAAATTTTGCGTCTAATTCATTTCAATATATTCGTTGTATCATATATATAATTATAGTAAAAAGAAAAATGTTGCAAAAAAAAACTTTTAATTGTCAAAATAAATTTTTTCTTTATTAAGTTTCAGACAATTTTTTTTCAGACCATCCGAAGCATATTAGGACTGATTACCTGATCACATTAATAAAATAAGTATCTCAATTATGACACATACGCAACAAATTTTTTCTCCCAGTATTTTGATGTCTTTAGAATTTTTAACTTTTTCAAAAACCTTTTCGTTAGTAAAAGTGTATAATATCGTTACATATGTTTTTATATATTCTCTATTAATTTTTAAAAGTATTTTGTATTTTAAAACAATATAAAAAAACTTAAAAAAATATATGCTTGCAAAATGTTGCAAGTGGCACGCTGATTTAAGGATAGGATTTTATTGAGAATGTGCGCTTATTAAAAAAATGGCGATGCAGTTTTCCGTAAAAACAAAAAATTTTGGTGATTGATTTCCTTTTTAAATATGTAATTAGTTTTTGCAATCAAAATAAGAAAAAAAAGTTTTTAAATTCTGTAATTGATAAGCTCTTCGTTAAATTAAAAAAAAAAAACTTTAGTCATAAAGAAAAAAAGTTTTTTGTTTTAAATAATTAAGTTTTTAGGTATAAAAAAAAGTACAGTATTACCTCAATTATTTAAAGAATATTTTGCGAAAAATATTTTTTGGATAAAAAGCAAAAAATATTCTTACTCTAAACATTGAGTAGAGTGTAATTGTAAAGAAAAATTGCAAGTTATTCATTTTTCCCTATCATTTTTTTAAATCGAGATAGGGTTAATTTTAGAGATATCAAAATATATTAAAAGTACTAAAATGCATCAATAAGTTTGCAAAAAACAAAATTTGCGTATTTTCTTAAGCGATACAACGACAAAAAGTTTATTTAAACTATTGCTAATTTGCTTTATTTATAAAAAGTTAATAATTTTCAGAGAATATTTTTTATCCTATTTTTGAATAATAGTTTTCAAAAAAATGTCTGGAACTAAACTTTTTGAATAGTATTAATTTCAGTAAAATGACTTTTGTGGGGCGCATCGGGACAACAAGTTATTTATATAATTGACTATATTACTACCATTTGTGATGCTGTTTACAGTTTGATGATTTTATTTTTAATCTAAAATATTATTTTCCTTATTTAGAAAAACAGTATTGTAATAAGTCAAAAGAAATTCTTATTTTTATAACTTAACCTGATTATTAATAGTGTTTAATGTAAACAAAGATGGTAAGAATTATATAAGAAAGATCAATCATCCAATATAGGATTAAACGCAGTTTTAGCCGTGAGTATAAAGGAACTTAGAACTAGAAAAGCTGCTGATAAATATGGCATATTTAAGTTTGCTCTACATTGGCATATTGCTAATAAATAAGCTCATCAACAATTTTTCCAAATAGTTTTTTTTTATTTTATTTTTTATTTTTTTTATTTGTCTTTAAAAAAAAGAATACAATGCCGTGTTATATAAATAAAATCTACATGACCGAGGCTAAAAGAAGACAATATTTGCCTTATCACTACACCCCGACGTCCTTTCATCAGCAAGCGTGTATAACCATTAAAATGTAAACATAAGACATAAAATTACTTTGTACCATTTAAAAATTATATACAAATATGTTAAGATCAGTTACTAATCTATAATCAAAAGAAAATTGTAAAAACAAAAAAAAAAAAATTAAAAAAAAAAAAAAAAAAAAGCAATCACACTTAAAAACTGAAGATAAGCTAATAGGATAATTAAAGAAAATTTAAATTGGTTAGACTAGTTAATAAGATAGTTGTTAAAAAAGAAGATTAAGAATCTTAAAAAGAATTTAATTCATTAAAATCGTTTAGAAGTTTTTGTTTAAATAGAGAAAATGAAGAACAATTTTTCAGCTGGTTATTTAATAAAGTGTTCCATAATTTAGGACCTCTGATGGCAATAGAAAATTTAGTAGCCAAATAGTGTATTTTAGGTTGCTCGTAATTGTAATTTGAAAATCTTGTAGGGTACACGTGATTAGTTTTATTGAAAAATGTATTAAAAACTATATGAGTTAACTTAATATGTAGCTTGTACATAAAAATAAGAATTTGATAAAGGTTTAACTGAAGAACATTGAGTATGTGATGATTTTTGAATAATTCTTTAGAATGTGCGAATCGACTTGCATTTGAAATAATCCTGACAGCGTGTTTTTGTCTACGAAGCAATTTTTAAACTTTACTTACATTAGAGCTGCACCGTTCAATATTTGAATAGTTTATATGACAATGTATGAGGGAGAAATATAAGATTTTTAAGCAGTTTTGGTTTAAGATTTGCTTAGCTTTGTATATATGCCAATTTTTTTCGAAGTTTTATTTTCAATTGTTCTTATGTGTTCTCTCCATGTCATGTTTTTGTCAAGTATCCCTGCTAAAAACTTTAATGATGACTCTCTAACTATTTTAGAGTTGCCAATGTAAAGATCAGGAAGTTTTTTTTTAATGGAATATTTTTTTTATTGAGAAGTCTATGAAAAAAAGTATATTTAGTTTTATTTAAATTTAAGGACAATTTATTTGCCTTAAACCATTCCGCTAGATTTAAAAATTCCTTGTTTACTATTTTAAATAAGAGGTTGATATCTCTATTAGAATTTAGTTTTAGGATATTTTTTGTTTGATTTATGTGATTCATAATATGTTTTGTTTAATTTGAGTATAGCAATAGTTACCAATTTGATAATATATAGGTTAGAGGTATTTTATAAAATAACAAAAAAAACTCTAATTTTAAAAAAACTACTGTCAGGGTTAATTAAAATTAAAAAATACTGTCAGGGTTAAAAAAACTACTGTCAGGGTTACCCTAATTTTTATAACGTTAACCAAAAAAAAAATTTAATTTAAGATTTAGCAGCATTTTAAGCTTAGTTTGTTACAGTTTGAAATTTAAGGTTCTCATACAAAAAAAACAGCAAACAAAATTCTAGCAATGATCATCAGCATCATATAAAAATTAAAACTGATTTTTAATTGAAAGACCAGGCTCCTAATAAATTATAAAAATACATATTTAGCCTCTAAGTTATAAAGACACTAGTAGTAGTAGTAGTAGTAGTAGTAGTAGTAGTAGTAGTAGTAGTAGTAGTAGTAGTAGTAGTAGTAGTAGTAGTAGTAGTAGTAGTAGTAGTAGTAGTAGTAGTAGTAGTAGTAGTAGTAGTAGTAGTAGTAGTAGTAGTAGTAGTAGTTTCATTTATTTCGCCATTAAGAATATATACATTGTACAAATATAACAAAAGGAAAAGGCTGGAGCAAAAAGAACGCATAATAAGCTTTATCATCGAGCCCCGGGTTACAAACGGATTTAACAAGTCCGTAAAATATCAAAGTATATATATATATATATAATAAGAAGTTAAAAAACAAAATGGTACAAAAAAATAAAGTTAGTTAAGAAAGAAATAAAATGTATAAATATATACATGTACGTATATACACATACGTGTATATACATACACAAACATACATACTAACACATACATATACACATATATATATATATATATATATATATATATATATATATATATATATATATATATATATATATATATATATATATATATATATATATATATATATATATATATATATATATATATATTGTTTCGTATTGTCGTTTTCATAATAAAATGAATAAAATTCCATTCACAACAACATAAAATACATAAAATTTCAAAAACAAAATAAATTTATAATAATTTACAAATAGATACCGCATATTTAAAGTAAATAAAAAGTATATATATTTTCAATAAATAGAATATTTAAAATAAATATTTTTCAAAAAGAGTGTGATAAAGACACAGATATTCTTAATAATACAATAGTTGATTTTCTTCTTATTTTCAGTTTTTTAGTAGTTAACATGTTAAAGTTGATAAAGTTAATGTATCGTTATGAATTTAGTTTGATATCTTCTAAAAAAGACTGGCAATATTTAGGATATTAAAATTCGTATTTACTATATTATATTTTAAATTAGCTTTGAATTGCGGAAATGTTTGTTCTGTGTTATGAACAATCTATTTAAAAATTTTCCATAAAAAGGTCCCCGATACTGAAGAGAATAAGAACATAAGAACAAAATTGAATATG